CCTACCGGGCTAGGTAATTGTTGGAATGTGCTTCATTGGAACGTAGCTAATCGTCCTTGCTTTTAGAGAATTGCTGGCTCTGCCTCGGCCTTTCTGCCTATAGTCTAAGGAACCTATTATAAGGTAGCAAGAGAGCTCTAAGAAGTGGGGGCGACCTCGTAGTTTTATAATGATTCTTTCACTCCTATCCCCTCATAAGAGGAGGATGCCAAGAGTTTCGCTCAACGGCCTAAGGACTACCTGACCTTCCTGCAATTCAATTCCCTAATGAAATCAACTACCTGTCTAAGTGCACTAGCTGACTTCTCTATTGCATAACGCTTCTCACCTGACTTCATAATCACAGCTAAGCTGCCTACTGTGAGGATCTAGCCGTTGCTTCATGCTCACCTTCCTTCATAAGAATAGGCTAGGATTAGTCCGGATCTAGCCTTAGTGTAGTAAAGACCATCAACAGGATGAACTCTATTTGAAGGAAGGCATCTATTCAAGTCTTTACTGAATTCGATATGCGTAGATTCGATTCGGAGAAGAGATTCTTTCTTGTAAGAACATGGCAAGCAGTCATTCAGAACTGGCAAGCACCCGGAAGCACTAGACCAATAAGCTAGATCTCCCTACGGGGCATTGCACGTTTAGCCAGACCGCTCCGCTCGTGCTTCTCCTTGCGTCTTGCACTAGAACAGGGAAATCGCTACTAAAGCACTTTCTCTCATGAATTGAAAGAGTTCTATCTGGGTCAAAATGCTACGGCTTGCTTATACTCTTGCAAGCAAGGCGAGAAGCGATTCTCTTAGCCGGCATACCCGACGAATCAAAAAAGCTATAATAAGGCAATCCATGGGCATGGAACCCCGAAATAGCCAATCTACAATCATTTAATCAGGTCGAAAAATTCTTGCCGGTGGGTAGAACCAAGACTCATTTTAGCCAGGAGCTTACTTTCACTACTTATTTAGCTACTTTAGGTCGTTGTAGTCCATAAAGAAGAATCAAACTTTATCAGAGCTTGCATTCGATGCCGTTGATTCAATTTCTTCACGCAAGAAATTCTAAAAAGAAGCTTCCTTCGCAGGAAAGATATTCTAGTAAATAGAAAACTCGCCATTCATTCATGAACTGTCTTGCCCGTGCCATCAAGAGCTAGAGCTATATCTCTCGAAGGTGTCTTAGCTCCACCGATAGGAACTGCCCACCTATCCAGGTAACCTCACCCGTGAACCACGAACTAGACTTACAGACAACCTAAGAAGAAAGGGAGTCTCACCCATAAGCATAAGAAGGAAAAACTAGAAGAATAAACAAGAGAGAACGCGCATACAAAGAGGATTCTTAACCGTTCGCGAAGAGAAGATAGTTGTTTTAGGCAAGGAAAAAAGCCAACCATAGCAGAACGCAATCAAAGCTTTCGTCCTTGGCCGCTCCTTCAACTGATTTCATTCATTCATAAACTCGCTTGAACGTGCCATCAAGAGCTCCAGCTGCTGCGAGGATAGGATCTTTAGGCTGGGCACGAAAGCTGCATTGATTTGACTTCTTTGCTTCTGCTATTGAAGCCCAAGAAAACTTTATCAATTCTCATTCTTCTTTGGCGACAAGGAAGGCTACCCCTGGGTAAAAGTACTAATCCGTCTATCTACTTACTCTCTAACTAAGAGAATGTTATTTACTGAGAGAAGTAGTACGGATTGTTGCTGTCTTCTTTTTGGCGGTGAGGACTGAACTTTCACTTTCTTACTTGAAGTCATAGCTCTTTCTCTTTTTATCTTTTGAGAGCTGTATGTAACTACAGTTCTTTATGGGCTGGGGAAATCTCCTAAATTACAAGAGAGGAAGATAGAGTTAGCATTGATTGGGAAGGAAGGAACTAGTAATCCATTTAAGAGGACTTTACCCGGGAAGGAACTTACTTTTTCTAACTCGGAATGAATTGGAAGTGCGAGATGCACTAATCGGAAAGAGACTCTCTCTTGACCTGACTTTCCCTATTGGCTTTGACTGCGGTAAGTAATTCACTCAAACCGATTCCATTTATGGAGGGTGGGAAAACTCTTTCTTTTATCAGGATGAAAGGCTTAGCCGCCTGACTCACTCCGGATAGAAAGATTGAGGGGGTCAGACACGGCGGAGACGGCACATTGAATATGGGATTGAGACTACGACTGGAATGGAATTGCTCCGTTGATAGATCCAGATTCGCATCCGCCCATCTAAGAGATTTCTTCGTGCCGGGTCGTGAGCTATGTGGAGCGATCAAAAAAATGGGATCTATTGGGCTTTCACCTGCACTGCCTTCGCCTAGGACATTAGAAAGGGCTTGCTGCTGGTTCGGAACTCCCCTATCTATTTGAATTGATTTACAGCGCCTATTTTCAAGCGGAATTGCTTCTCTTAACTTGAAAGAGGGTCTCTCCTGTCCGGCTCGATATGAACAAGGTAGGCTGGTAGGCTTCTATCCGACTATTAGTACATGCAGTTCTCCCCTTAGCCTTAGGGCAGGCAGGAAAGAAATTAACAGCTTCTAAAGAAAAGAGGACGACTTAAGACAGCAAGAACGGGCAAAAGAAGTAAGTCACTTGCAAGCCCGAAAAGAAATCGATGAATGTGTCCCGACCAAGCAACGAAGAAGCGCTAGCAGATGAGATTGGACCTATATAGACTAGGGGAAAGACAGTCTTGGGGGTCCCCAAAACAGAGTGAGAACTAGCCCTTTGAGGAGCTCTCTAAGCTGTCTAACTCTCTATTAGCATATGCAGAGGGAAACCAGGTTCAATAGCCGGATAGAGTAAGAAAACAACTAAATAGAAATGAGTACTTGCTACGGGAGTAAAGAGTTTCAAGAAAAAATATCCTTAATGCGACTGCGGGAAGGCTGTTCCTGCTACATTTCGCTGGGGAAGAAAGAAGGAATTGAGTCCTTTCACATTATCACGGAAAAAGGGGATTGCCTATTAGTCAATTTTGACTGGAAAAAGACCCGGAACCCCATACCCTCTCATTCACTTACTATAGGCCGAGGAGCGTAGATTCATCTTACTTTTTATAAATGGAAAAAGAGACATAAGTCACGCATTCGAGCAAGAGCCTTTGCCTTTCTTCGCTATGTAAATAGAGGGCCGGAGGAAGAAGTGCCAGAACCTCAACAAAAGAATTAAGGTGATAGAGTCTTACAGGAGACGCTAGGCTTCGGAATTGAATGGAATGATTCCTCTCCCTTGGTTGCCTTCACTGCCCGTGAATCCCTTCTCTTTTTCTATTCCAGTAGTCTTATGCGGTCTGGTCTGTCCATTAGTTGCTTAACTCATAGTAGTTAGGAGGTTGTTGTCCTAATGAGTGTAGCGGAGTGCTCCCTATCCTATTACTCATCTATAGGGCTATCACCCTAGCTTTCCCTGTCTCTGCCTTTCTTTCCTAGTCCTGAGTTTTTCTTCTTGACTATTGCGGGTTTGACACTATTCAATACTAAATATCTACTCGTGGAGGGAGGGGAGGCAATAGATTCATCTTAGGCGGTAAGCGAAGGAACTGTAGGGCTTAGGGCAGCCTCGGATTTTTCTTCAATAGGCTCTAGGGGAGGTGAGAAGAGAGCCAATAGCTATTATAGAAGGACTTAACAATTCATGGCATGAATTAGAGTTGAAGGAAGAAAGACATGAAATGCTAGAAAGATGGAATCTATGAATGAGCTCTTTCGTCTAAGCCTAGAACTAGGCAAGAGCAAGGAATGGACTTTAAGTGAGTGAAAACCGGAAGGAGGG